GTTTTAAGATATTTTTAAGTGTTCCTGTACAGTACTTAGTATTAACAATTAGACGATTCTATACAAACTTTGATTACTAAATTTTGATGACTGTATGAGAGCTGTTATTAGGTATATCATATACATTCCTGAATAATTTAAGATGTTGATTATTGTTGCTATGGATTGTGTGATGTAATACTACTAGATGCTGAAAATGTGAATTTACATGTAAGTGTGAATTGTGGATAGAATGTGGAGATTTCTGTAAGTTGTATTGCCAATTAAGAAATCGGTTCAGTACTTGATTTGTGCATAATTTAAGCTGAAGTTTATCTGTTGTAAATTGATTGCTGTTACATCATGTTAAGAATTACTCTTCGAAGCATGTAAAATATTGCCAATATTTTGAACATGCCAAACATCATTATACCATGTCATTTTTATACCATATTTAGAAAGAATGAAGCAAATTTTCTTTAAATCTCTGATTTATAATTGTAAACTAGAGTATCTGACACTTGTATCAAAATAACAAGTACTTTTTAGTTTATAAGTTAAATTTCTTAAGATGCATTCATTATCCCAAAGAACGAAGAAGAACAATATTTGCAGTTGCAAAGAATTAAATAATGATGTTACTTTTTAAGGAATACTGAGTCCTAGTGCATCTTGGTGTGTATAATTCAGAAATACCTTATTCTGTGTAATATTAGTTATGAGAAATATAATGAGATACTAAAATGCTAAGTGTTTTTATTTCATTTTATTTGTCCCACAAGTATAATGGCATATTGTACAGGGTGGCCACAGTGGAAAAGTAAAACTCCAGTGCATCCCAATAGACTGGAATAAGAACAAGGCATTAACATGACAAAATGTCACCACCTAAAACAATTTGGTCAATTGAAAGCACGTCAAACCTTAAATCTAAAGTCTGATTTGAACTTCAGAAAACTTGTAGATGATTTTGAAAAAAAAATTGTGCAATTTGAAGCAGAGTAAAAAAGACCGTTTTGACCTTGAGAAGGTCATTAAAGGTCAAATCGTAAATCTAAAGTCAGATTTGAATTCCTGAGAACTTGTAGATGATTTGGAAAAAAATTTTGTCAATTTGAAGCAAGTTGAAAAAAGACCTTTTTGACCTTTTTTTGTTGATCTTGAGAAGGTCATTGAAGGTCAAATCTCATATTTTAAGTCAGATATGCACTTCTAAGACCTTGTAGATGCTTCAGAAAAAAATTGAAGTCAGTCTAAACAGTATTTGTAAAGTTATTGAAAGTTGTAAGAATTTGTTACAGACCAGATACCAGACACCAACCGCCGTAACAAAAAACAGACCACGAGACCATAACAATATGTCACCACTTTTGGTGGTGACATAAAAACTGGAAATGAATGAACATTATCAATATATTCAATACGATTATTATCCCACCGAAAGAGGAGCTCATGTTATGCAAGGAAAGGTGTCCAATTCCAGCTAATTACACAGTATTTCATATAATTGCATTGCATAATACTAGTCTAATGCACCCAAAGTCATTTTTTATAACATCCATTTAACAATTTCAAATTGGCTGTTCACTCACTCACCTCTTGTATTTTCAACAAAAAAACAGATGGATGCACTGACATAGAAATGAAAGAATTGCAATTCAAAGTAGGAGTTAGCCATTTGGTGATATTTTGAAAAAACCCTTGCACCGACAAACTACCTGAAAACTTCCAACCACTTGAAAAATCATTACAATTAACAGCTTTACGACCAAATTATACAGAATTGTAAAACATCAACACTTCAGGCTTGATTCAAAAAATCTGAAAGCCTACTGATGTGAATAAGCTTATTCAATGGATTATTGTTGCAGTTCATGATTAATTTTATCTAACAGAAAAACCAGCAACTCTCTTGCCTCCTCTAATGTGTTAGGGGTTGATTTTCCACTTTCCTCCATAAGCATTTGGAATAATTCTTTGAAGTGTTCCTTGTTAGTTTCTACAACACAAGTATTGTCAGATTCTAACTGAGCAAATATTTCTTGGTCAATCTTTTGCAACACATCCTTATGTCCAAATTCTTCAGGGGCAAAGTACAGAATATCTGGTTTCCCATTAACTGAACTGACAGATTTTGATTTTTGAATATGGTGTGTATTCCACATTCTTTGCGTTGTGTCAAGTTCTCTTTGCAGTAGATCCATGTAACAATATCTCATACACTCAATGTCTAGTATGTTTGAATTGTCAATAATGCCAACATCTAACAGCTGGCGGCAGTGAGATATCCACATTGCTGCTCCATATATTGGAAATTTACTCCAGAAACTTTCTATTCTCTGGTTTGCAGTTGATTTTCCATACAGAAATGCAACTTTACATGAACAGTCATCATTTACAGAGCGTAGAACAGTTTGAAGCAGTTCAACCTTGACATTCTCAGTCCCCCGATCTGCGCGAACAATCTTTGGAATACCATTTACATTTTTAACACAATCGCAAAAGTATTTGCAAATTAACATAGAGTTTTTATTTGAAGATCCTGCTTTGAGCCACAATATTCTTCTACTGAATCCATCCAAGCATCCATGGACAGTTAAACCATATGGAGTTAGTTTATCCCAGCCATCAATATGCCATATATAGTTGCTCCCTTCAGATGTATATTGTCGCCTTTGTAAGCGTCTCGTTGATCGTTTGTGTACACCTTCTGGGTCAAGAACTGAGAGCAAACGGCGAATTGTTTCATGATCTGTTTTCAGCCTGCAATTCACAAAAGCTGTCATACTTTATTTTATGCCAGAAAAAGGGGAGATAAAATAGTGAAATACAGTATAATGGTAAAGAACTTTATGAGTATCTTATTGGGCGGGATGACAGGTACAAAACTGAGTTGACGGGAACAACTGAATTGATGGGTAACAGAAAATGAAACAACAGCACTCTGAGGTGACATATACCAGAAAATGAGATGACGAGGACCAAAAAGGGGAAAATACATGTACTGAGATTAAGATACGACACAACTTTTTTAACTTATGCCACAAGTGGCAACGGTTTCAAACGTCATGATGACATCTTTTTAATAATTGAGTTTGCCTTCAATGAAAACTAAGCGACAGGTACAGGTACTGAGATGACCTAGGTAACATGTATTGAGTACTGGTGTATGTTGAACTGACTTGATGGGCAGCATACAGTAGGTATTTTCAAGAAAAGTATTCAGTTGACGGCAGAATAGTTGCTGGCCTTAAAGTGATCTGATTGGCGGAATCACATTCCAGCCTATGCCTTCCCATACATGTACCTCATAAATGTGGGGCTGATTTTTCAAATCCAATCTCCACAATTTTACAATCGGGATTCGGGGTACCAGATACTATTCTCGATTCCGGAATCAGGACATTGATACTTCCCCGATGGTAAAATTGTGGAGATTGATCAATCAATTGACTTACCCATGGACTTTTGTGATTTTGCCATGCATACTCCGGTATCCCATTGCTGACCCACTGCCATGATCTATCTCTTGAATGATAGCGTCAGCAACTGTGCCAATGGCAGTTTTATCGAATTTTCTTGAGAGCCCCATCTTCTTTAAATCCCTCTTGATCTGTCTCTCCGAAAGTGTAATTCCATGACGGAACTTTAACAACATGCCGATCTCCTTGTACGTAAAACCGTCTTCAAAGTATGTGGCTATACATTCATCTCGATCTGACTCCATTTCTTCTTCGATTATAAGTCATGACACGCCGCATCTAGATTCTACAAAATCTCCTTTACAGAAGACTTTTGTAAAATTAAAATACTTATGCATTTTCAATATTAGTTTTGTAAAATTATTTTTTATTTTGCAAAATTATTTTTATAATTCTATACTTTTGGAAAATTATTTTGAAAATAATATTTTGAATTGCAAAAGTCCCATCGTATTTTATAAAACTATTTTTAAAATCTGTAAACTAATTTGATTTCTTTAAAGTAATCTAGGTATTTTTCCATAAATATAAAAAATAAATAAATTGAAAAATGAATTTCGAAATTACAAAAATCAAATCCTGTTTCATTCAAGTTTTTAGATTTTAGATAAGTATTTTGTGAATTTTTATAAGTTTTTTAGATTTAAAACAGAAAAATCGATTTTTCATTTAATATTTTGATATATTACAAAACTAAAATTGTGTTTTATTAAAGTTTTTAGATTTTATATAAGTACTTTGTGAATTTTTATAAGTTTTTTTGAGATTTGAAAAATTAAAATTGATTTTTTTTTAATTTGAAAAATATGTCCCTTTTAAAGCTTCGTAGTTGATGATTGAATTGGACCCCTTCCCTCGAGTTAAGTACATTGTAAAGTTATGATTTCAATGAGTTTTAAAAATCGTTAAACATTTCTTTAACGCAGGTCCAACTACATGTAGGGGACTTGCCAAAGTTTTGGAGGGCAGTGTACCCTCCTGTGAGACATATTGTTGTTAACGGGACGTTCGGGTACTCCGGGTAGGGAAGCGTGTCATGTTTTCTACTGACGATGTTTAAAGTGCGTAATTTGGGACTCGGGTGTGAATTTCAGAATAGTATATAGGGTCGTCCATCAACAAAGCAACAAACAACCAAACAAAAAATACAAAAGACAAACAAGAAAGAACTTTTTCACGGATCTTATTTTCTGTAAATTACAAAATTACAAGTTACAGCCTTGAATGCATGTATTATACTTTTGCGCTATCCAACGAAAATTGGAACATAAATTACAAATTGAAAAATTAACATGCAATCGGTGCAAGATATCAAACGTATTAGCCTTTAATTTATAGTACATCAGTGGCTTTAAATCACATTTCAATACAACACATAAACATATAAAAAGTCACCCTTCGATGAATTAACCGCTTTTAATTACCATAGCTGCCGTATTTATTAAAAACAAACAAGTTCTCTTCTAAATTTATTACACATATCAACAATAAACAAACGATATTGACTGACTTTTTTCAGTAATTATTATAAGCCCTGATAAATAATGTTGATATTTAAGCGGAAGGATGAGGCTTGTTGTGTTAGAGTTACGGGGACGTGTTTTATTTTGTCTTTGGATTACGTACTGCTTTCAAGGTAAGTACACGTCATTAAATGGATTAAACACCCGGATTAAGGTATATCCGCGTTATAAAATGATTTAATGGCATCCTTATTGGAGATGCGTGTTCTTATTGGAGAAGAAATGAGATTATACCGTACATAGTTTGAAATTTGAAATATGTGTAGACCATGTTTGGAATACGTGTCATTATTGGTGGTTATTAGGGTTCGTTGTGTACAAGGAAGTTTTAGATAGCGAGTTTATTCCGAGGGAAATATGTGTATCCCCGCGAGTCAAATGCACATATTAATAGAGAGACAAACGCTGTATCCAAACTGTATACATAGCATAACATAACATTTCATAAGGGCTATGTGCTGGGAGGTTTTGGATACAGGTTTTGTCCCAAGGGATATATGTGTAAATCTCGAGATACCACCGTAAATAACAGGTGAATTCCATACCTACTAGGGTTCTAGGTATATTCTTACATAGCAATAGTGTCTTATAAAGTTCCAAAATTCAAAAATACGCATTTTCTCAGTCTTAGCACATCAACGAATTGATAAAATATACAACGTTCGCAAGTTTGAAATATAATCTTTATTTTTTGTATGCATAGGAGAAACGAACGTAAACCGAGTTCCCTTTTTAGGAGCGGGGCCCGGGAGCGGGGCCCGCTCCTCGGTGAAAGATCCCTAGATACAGTATGTATTCCCACTCGTTAGTTACCTAGTACCTTGGTAGGTCAGGCCAGTAGCCAGGGGGGGGGGGGTCGCAGGGTTCGGGCGAACCCCCTCCCCCGGCCAAATTTTTTTTCAAAAGCATGCAGTTTTTCACCATTTTGAGCAAATCTCAAGTAATTTTAGCCATATTTGGGCCAAAACTGTCAAATGTGAAATTTTTGAAAACGGAATCCCCCCCTTGGCAGATCCTGGCTATGGGCCTGTAGGTATGGAATATATATGTATCCCAACCCTACATGTACTGAGGTTCTAGGCTAGGTACATTGATTGCAATTTTTGAACACCCTATTGTTATGATGATACGTGGATATACATTCTTTACGGTAGCTCTACAACGAAAATAGATAATGGGAGAAGAGGTTTTTGCACGAAATTTCATCATCATTTATTTCAACGGCTTCTGTGTATTATGTCACGTAAGGCGCTTTAATGGTAAATTAAAATTGGATGCTTAATTTGTACATGCTGTCCCGCATCAGAGCAAATGAAAATTGATGGGATTTGCTAGGTGAGGAATATGTTAATTACTGGAGAGCAGAGCGAGCTCGTGCTGTCCCGTATTGTCATTATATTACCTGGACTTGTGAGGCCTAATGGGCTCTAATGGACAGATATGGAAAGTAAGCCAAAAATAAGGCACTGACAAGGCCTCTTTCTGAAAAGGAGGTCTCATTTTGGGTCCGACAATGAATAAAATGTAATGGAATCATCCAAAGATCCACCAGCGGTTATGGACTACTACTATGCAGTTTATCCCACCCCCTCCCGCCACGCCTCCAATTAACCCCTTCCCCATAAAATATCACCATTTTGAACGGCCACGTTTTCTCAATTACATGAGACAATTTCTGAATTTCAGGATCGACCGAAGCGCAAGAGAAAGAAAGCGGTATACATATCACGTCCAACCTTGTTAGGGTAGTAGGGGGGACGGCCTGGTCGGGATACGTGGAGTTCTTACACGATGGGGCCTGGAAGAGACACTGCAATGATGTCTGGGGTTTCGAGAGAGCTAGACACTTCTGTCAAGCCTTGGGCTTCAACCAAGAAAATGCACAGCCTTTCCCAGTGGGGGAATTTGAAGGAGGGACATTTGGTTATACCTGGAAATTGAACCTTATATGTACCAGGAGAGTATGTGAGGGGTTTCTCCCCTGTGCGTCCAGGGGTGACGCTAAAGTTTCATGTTATGGTATTTTTCAGTTATAACTACACCTACACCCCCTTTTCAAATTTGGAAACCGGACGTTTCATTCGGATTATGTGTTAAAACCTATTTATGTGCTTGAATCTTAATTTATTTTGTTTCCAATTATAATGAGTAGATAGTTTATCGTTTAAGGTATTCGACCAAATATTCAAAAAGAAGTTAAGCAGATTTACACGTTGAAAATGGGATGTTAAGTTGCCAAACTTTTGAAGCGAGTGTACATTTACACGTTGAAAGATGGGACATTTAGTTGCCACACTTGTGGAGGGGGTGTACATTTGCCACAGTTTTACAATTGGTTTGTGTTTTGAATGGATAGTTGAACTTCCTAAAGATTGAAAAATATCTAAATCTTCAAACATGAAATGCAATGTTCATCAAGACCTTTGACCTCATGTGACCAAATCACGTCAACAGTGACGTGCTTACACAGATTGAGCGCCCCCTGGATTCATTTTTGAATCTTTCAGGTAATACAAATCTCCAAGCACGCCTAGTTGATTCTAGTATATCCGTGAATGGCCGCATTGAATTGAACTTAGATGGCGAATGGATTCCAATATGCTATGAGGGGAACATGGGACAGGGGTACGTCTATTGTTTTATCTAATGCCCGGTAGAGTTTAGGGAGATAAGTAAATCCCGTATCCTGATTTTGAGGTTTTCATATCCAGGACCTCCAAATATGATATCTCCCGCCCTATGGTCTCTCGGATGGATATGCATATCTCCCTCTGGATAAACCCCATATCCAAAACCTTCTAGTACATAACCCTTATTAACCCTTATTCATGACAATTTGTCTGTTCGTTCTTTCAAAATATGTACACCTCAACTGCCATCTTTATGTTAACCTGGTCACTATAGTTGTGTTATGCGCCTCTCATATCATTTCAAATGTCGCATATAGATGTCCCAAATGTAAATTTCGTCATTTCTATGTTAAAGGGTGAAAATGATGGAGAAAGTCGTGTGCCGACAACTAGGGTTTAACCCTATAACTGCCAGGTCTAGGACCGACTGGCATCTCGATCCTAAGGCGACGACAAAAAGATGGGTGAAAGGTAAATAGACATTGCAGGCAGATGGGTGCATCTCGTAATTATAGGATATCCTATGATTTTGAGGAATATCATTTTTATCTACGAGGTGATATTGATATCTGCACGAGAGAGCGAAGCGAACGAGTGCATATATCAATATCACCGAGTAGATTAAAATGATATTCTGAAAAAATCATAGGATGTTCTTATTATCCTACACTTACAAGGAGTGTACTAAATGTATACTATCATTGCAAAATGAATTCCATGCCAAATAGAGACAATTTGGCGGGAAATCAACAAGCGGAGTATATCGTCACAATATCCTCCGCATATTGGGGTTTCCGGAGTATATCGTCACGATATCCTCCGCCCGGAGTATATCGTTACGATATCCTCCGGATATTCATTTTGCCAATAAATATCAAATTTATTTTTTAATGTTATTATACATTTAGTACACTAAGTGTAGGATAATACGTAGTACGTAACCGAATTCCCGGTGGATATCACAAGTGAATTTTTGTGATATACAATATCATGAATAGTTATTCACATTTTTCACAACGCATCATAAAATAGTGATATTTCCATTTTCACAATTATTGAATTAATGGGAATGTCGCGGGGAATGGGTCTATATCATGTAATTTTCAAACGTGTCTATGGACCTTAACCTGATTTTCCTGTTGTTGTTTTCTTTGATGAATAATATCATTTTACTGCCATTCCTACCAAGGTAAAAAGTTCTTGTAAGAAATGATGACTTTCGGTATCTCGTTTTGTCTAATTTTGACAGAAATTTTGAGTGTTGATCAGTCTGTATTATACTGTAAGTGAGGTATACCCAATCGGACAGTACATACTACTGAAGTGGAGAACTCATCCCTAAAGTTCCCTAAAGTTTCAGATTGGGCAACGATTCTTTTGACGCGCAACCGGAGGCGGTCGAAAATGCTTCAGGGAATTTGATTGGTTCCTTTATGCATCTTCGGTCATCTTCGTGATATAAACATAATATATGTAACCATAATTTTCAATAAATTTGATTGGTTCCTTTATGCATCTTCGGTCATCTTCGTGATATGAACATAATATATGTAACCATAATTTTCAATAAATTTGATTGGTTCCTTGAAGCATCTTCGGCCATCTTCGTGATATAAACATAATAAATGTAACCATAATTTTCAATGAATTCGATTGGTTCATTGAAGCATCTTCGACCATTTCCGCGATATAAACATAATATATGTAACCAAAATTTCCAATGAATTCGATTGGTTCCTTGGATCATCTTCGGCCATTTCCGCGATACAGAGACATTAACACTTGGGATCGGTGCACTTCCATTTCAGATGTCCAGTGTGAAGGGAAAGAGAACAACGTTGCGCAGTGTAAGATTAAAACAACTGAGGCGACAAGATGCAGCAAGGATTACTTCCTCATCTGTCAAGGTAGTCCTCCTTTAATTACCCTTTGCCCTAACCAGCTAGTCAGACTACCTCCCCTCTGACTATTGCATATGAATTTTTAGTTTTAGATGCTTTGACCCCAAATACAACGTTGGCTCTTATAACGTTTGAATATAAAAGGACCTTATACACCCTCCATTGGGATCTCCCCATGAGAAAAAAATAATTCATCTGATTTTTCAAAATAAAAATACTGCTTTTATTATTACATTTATATGTACACTAGTATCTTTTTTACCTATATTCAGAACTGTATTGATGAATGGGCCACTTATTAGGGCCAATATTCAATCATAAAGTGTACGGTAACTGGTCAACTCAACCCCAAGTCAACTCAACCCAAGTCAACTCAACCCTTAGTCAAGTCGACCCCAAGTCAAGTCGACCCTTAGCCAAGTCGACCCTAAGTCATCTCGACCCTTAGTCAACTCGACCCCAAGTCATCTCAACCCTTGGTCAACTCAACCCTTAGTCAAGTCGACCCAAATGATTTTACTTGTTTTAAGTAGATTAAAATACAATATAATCCAATTGTTTGTGCAGTTTGATTTGAAATCAAACTTCAAAGAAAAAAACATTTCTGTCACCTATAGATCAAAACGAAGATTTAAACTGGATCATAAAATCCCAATCTGATTGTTTATGACACCTGACATATGAGTAAGATAATGGAAAATAGAAAAACATAAATCCCATTGTTTGTTCAGTCTTGTTTTAAAATCTTACTTCAAAAAAATAAACATTTCTATCGCCTGTAGATCAGAAGGAAGATTTGAACCGGATCATATTGTTTATGATTATTATCAAAATATAAAATCATTCAATACAAAGTAATGGATGGATGTTGGCACAATGCACATGTTGCATAAGTTACCTGTTGTCAAAAATACTGTTGCAACAATTTCGGTATAACAGAAAAGTGTATAGATAATTTTTTTATTTCAGAGAGATTAAACAAGCTCAAATATTAAGGGGTGAAATATATGTATAACATCGTGAATAGTCCTATTAAGATTAATCAAATATTATTTTGTTATTTATAAAAATTATAAATGCGTTAAGCACAAACTTCAATAGTTGATAATTTTATTTTGGAAAATTGGCATTTTAGTCCCTCATACTTTCAAAATTCATCAATATCATACCATGAAAATAGTATATCTATTTGTTTTTTTATGGTGGGGTCGAGTTGACTAAGGGTTGAGATGACCAAGGGTTGAGATGACTTGGGGTCGAGTTGACTAAGGGTCGAGATGACTTAGGGTCGACTTGACTAAGGGTCGACTTGACTTGGGGTCGACTTGACTAAGGGTTGAGTTGACTTGGGTTGAGTTGACTTGGGGTTGAGTTGACCAGGAAGCAAGTGTACAGGGGTCGAGATGCCAAACCAGGAAGTGTTTTTGTGTCTGTCAAAATCCATTTGAATCCTACACATCCCAACACATTATCCAAATATGTTATTAATTAATGAAACATAACAGTATAATCTTTGGATTTACAAAGTTGTATGGGATTTCATAAGTGTAAAAGTTGCTTTTGAAGCATTTTCCTATAGCCATTTTGTAGGAAAAAAATGATGAAAAAAATGTCTAAGCCTTTAATTTGAAGTATGACCTGAATCGATTGCAAACTTTATATTTGCACATCTGATGTGATATACCATTTGTGTCATATTGTGAAATTATTTAATTTGCAATCGATTCAGGTCATAGTATATTTTAGGTATTTTTGTGAAAATCAATAGAAACCAATGGTCTCCATTGGAATCTGATGATATCCACATGTTAAGTCAATGGAGCACATCCAATGGCAAGTCAATACCCTTGCTGAACTTAATGACCTCAACCTCAGCCCATGTGGGTCCAAACGCTTAAATATTTTCCCCAGTATTATGTGACATTGTATTCTTTATGTTACACCTAAAAATGATTCCTTTTGTTCATGGGGAGATCATAATTTTTTCTTAATAGGTCTGTCCGAGTCGATAACCAAAGCGAGGCTCCACGAGATCGAACCACGTGGTGGACCAGTGTCAGTTCTACGATACAACAAATGGCAAGCAGTGTGCCCGGATGGCTGGGACGTAAGAGAGGCTACTGTTTTGTGCCGCACATTGGGGTTCTTTAAAAGTCTCAACAAGCCAAGACTTTTCACAAAAGATCAAACACCTTCGAAAATAATGTGGTACGTTATGTGTGTAAGCGATATTGACATTTTGTGTAGTTTTCGCTACGTACTTGTGCTTTTTGAACACCATGGAATTGTTAAATATCAGTTTTATAAATATATGAAACATGATGTATCAGAATTTATTGAACGGTCTCTCGTATATACTATTGCACACCCTGTAGTTGACAAATCTTAGTTTTATGCATTGATTTAAACATGTTGGCATTTACACGCACATACCATAAAATGGTAGTCTATATTCTATATCTTAAAATGCAATATGTTACAGTTGCGAAGAAATGAATTAAAGAATACATTGATGTGCTGAGCGATTGAATAATAATGTGCCATGCATCAAGAGGTGATGATAATAATATGATCATGCCGAAGAAAAGATGGCGCTAGTGTAAATGAAGCTGTTTATTGCCCTGACATATTTTTAAAAATAGTATTCCAATCACCCACTACCTGTTTAAGAATGGGACAGCATCTTTTCCATTCAATGCCGATTCAATCTGACGGAGAATGCCGAGCCTCTCTTTTTGAACAATTGGAGACGTCATCTTCACATTCGTTGTACCCTCGGCCAACTTCCTTTGCAAATAAAATCTTCGGCAGTCTCCGGCTTTTCTTGAGGTATCTTCGGTTGCAAGCCAAAAGTAGAATTTGTAAGTACATGTTTAAATATTTCGAAATGTGAATTGTATTCCAGGTCTTCGTTTCTGACGTGTTTGGGAATTGAGAGCCAACCGAATGAATGCAAGCGTATACGAAGAGTTCACGATGACGGGAGTTCATTCTGTGAGAGTGATCTAGTAGCAGGTGTAAATTGTGGAGGTGAGAAAGTAATCCTCCTTAACAGGTGACATGTGACCTGTGTTTAACCAATCACAGACTGAGGAACATGACATGTGACCTGTGTTCAACCAATCACAGACTAAAGAACATGACATGTGACCTGTGTTCAACCAATCACAGACTGAGCAACATGACATTTGACCTGTGTTCAACCAATCACAGACTGAGGAACATGACATGTGACCTTTGTTTAACCAATCACAGACTGAAGAACATGACATGTGACCTGCGTTCAACCAATCACAGACTGAGCAACATGACATTTGACCTGTGTTCAACCAATCACAGACTGAGGAACATGACATGTGACCTGTGTTCAACCAATCAGACTGAATTTTGAAGCCCTGTGATCGGAGGATGTGAGAAATTATTGTCTTTAGAAATTATTCTCCACTATTCTCGATTCGGATTTGAAACGTTTTTGAAGCTCTATTCTAATATTCGTGAAATATATATATGTATATATGTGATTATCTGCTCCCAGGGTTGGACAATATTCGCAATTTAACTGAAATATCATACTTATATTCATGCAGGTATGTTTAGAGCTCGAGCTATAAAAGAATTAATGTAAAATATACGCTCTAGGCCTAGCTTTATAGTTTTGATTTTAACAACCTAAACGTTCGCGTTTAGGTTGTGAACGCAATTGATTGACTTTGTCATGGGATTATTTTTTAGAGATGAAGGCGACACCTATTAGACTTTCAAACAATCAGTTGGCTTCCGGCACGGTGGAGATCGAACATGACAATCAATGGGGCTTTGTTTGTAATATTGGATCAAGTATAAACGTCGCAAAAGTCGTCTGCAAAATGTTAGGATTTAGTCCATTTTTGGCCAGCCTCACAGACAGTGCGACATCTATAAGAGGTAATAATATTTATTATGATGATATTTTCTTTGCATTTCGAAACTTGAATGTATTTTACAGTAGTCAAGTCCTTAAGTGTTGGTCATTTTAAATGGTATATGTTGTTGAAAAGAGGTAAGATTTCGTTTGTTTTTATTCTAAACTGCATGATTTCACACCAAGAAAAAATGGCACACAACTGAAGCTGTTCATCTCAAATTGAATTGCCGAAAAGGAGACGAAATTATGGTTTGAACACTTCAATGAACCATAGTAGCGAATATCGTTCTTGTTGTATTTTCTTTGATTTCATTATGTTAGTTTCTCCACAGGTAGGCCAAAGTACTGGCTTGGTGATTTGGAGTGCACTGGGGTGGAAGATGATTTACAGCAATGTATTCACAAAGGTTGGGGCGCGACAGTGTGTCCCTCTGGCGGTGCCCCGCTGACCGTGTCTTGCGTAGGTGAGCATAGCGCGATGTTTTTTCTTTGGAAACGAGATGTTCATTGATAAGATTTTGAATTAATCAATTCACATTCCAGCTAATCAAAACACGCTATTTCACGTAACTGCATTCAGTTATATAACCAATAACGAATTCAATGTTACTAGTTAAACATACTTTATAATTCCCCGTCTGACCTAAAACTATATAAGAATAATGCCGTTTTTATCGTATATCCATTTCGATTCGTTCACTTTATACTTTAGTTGATGGGAACTGGGGAGAGTGGGGGCCGTTTTCCCTATGTACTCTATCCTGTGGCGGAGGGACACAATTCCGCACTCGACAGTGTAACAACCCAGCACCATCCGCCATGGGGTCTCCCTGCAGAGGACCAAGCACAGAGTCGGCAAGCTGCAACACAAGGATTTGTCCAGGTAAGCCTTTGCCTTTTATCAATACCCAAGTGCCATCTGTGACAGTACATTTCTCGGTTGTATTCGTTCAGTGCGTTTCTCCTTTCACTGAGAGTCCATTTCAAACATGCTGCTATTGATTGCGTGTGGAGTATCATCCTCCAAACGCACGCCTCCGAGGTCGTTTAAAACTTTTATTCATTGTTGATGAGCTCTGGAACCTTAACTGGAAACTTGAGTTTGGAGGCTGGATATGCCAAGTATAAATCTTTTAGGTCAGCTGGTCAAAATCAGCCAATCGATTGATCTAATTTACCGGTAGCAAAAGTAGTCTGATCAACAAGTTGTACATATGGTAAATACAAGGCCCTGCTCAGCTGGTCCTACTGTCACTGTGGCTAGTCGATCTATGTGGATGCAGTCAGGCACATGTAATGTTTCGTGAGTACTCGCCTCTGTACTTTTCAATGGAAGAGTTTTGCACTTCTGTTTTAATAATCTATATTTACTCATCCGTGTATATCATACTTCATTGATTTACAAAACCAAAGCTACGCTATAAACACACATTCTCTGATATTTTTACGGAGAATAGATAACTCAAACGAGTTCATTCGACCAGTTTTATCATCTCGCTCATAGCTGTGAGAAGGTATGTATAAGTTGCCATAGGTTTACCTTATAATGGGGAATATGCTGCTATTGATTGCGTGTGGAGTATCATCCTCCAAACGCACGCATCTGAGGTCATTTAAAACATTAATGCCGTGGTCACATTTGCTCCGATTTTTACTACGGCGCCCGGCCGATTGAGTGTTTTGTTCAAAATTGTATTCAATTTTGAACAAAATACTAATCGGCCGGGCGCCGGTGCTGAAAATCGGAGCAAATGTGACCACGGCATAAATTCATTGTTGATGAGCTCTGGAACCTTAACTGAAACCTTGAGTTTGGAGGCTGGATATTTTCATTTTCCAAGGTCAGCTGATCAAAATCAGCAGCCAATCTAATTTACCAATAGCAAAATTAGTCAGATATCAGCAATGGTCAAGTAGTTCAGTTAAAATAAAGGTCTATGCGGTAGTTTTGATTGGCCAGCACTCATGTTTTGCTAGTGCTAAACAGTGTCTATAAATTCACTTTCTTATCGTAGTTCACGGAAACTGGGGAGGCTGGTCATTTTGGACTGAGTGTTCGGAAACGTGTGATGGAGGAGAACGTCACATGACTAGGTCATGTGACAGCCCGGCCCCTGCATTCGGCGGTGACCCGTGTGAAGGCCCGGATGTAATTGTTGAAGAATGCAACACTGGAACTTGCCCAGGTGGGTAGAAAATATATAAATACGAAAGGCAGTCGGAAAACCAATCTATATACATGTAGGATATGTCGATATACTTATACTCAACAAGCAACGCCATGGTCAACTGTTTTCTGTAATTGGTTCGATTGGTCAACAATTTCAGCAAATTTATGGGGGCAATATCCAATAAGACCTTTAAATATGGTACATTGATTTAAATTTTTAAAAAAACTGACAGATGTCAGTAAGGTCAAACTACATGTAACTTGTGGGAGCCATGTTTTCTCATGATGGCCTATTCATTCCAAAAAATTGTTCACTCATGTCTCTCTTGTTGTCAATTGATAATTGTGCTATGTGATTGTGTTTTCGCCAAGACCTGTGCCCGCCAGATATGAGGCTGATGAACTACGTGAAAACTCAGAGCAGGAATACGAGGGGAGATGGATGGACATGCGCGTGTAAGATACAATGCCATGAACATTACCGTAAGTTTTATGTTCTTATAAGGGTAAGGAAGGGGATAAAGGAATACGAGGGGAGATGGATGGGCATGCGCGTGTAAGATACAATGCCAGGAACATTGCCGAAAGTTTTATGGTCTTCTAAGGGTAAGGAAGGGGATAAAGGAATACGAGGGGAGATGGATGGACATGCGCGTGTAAGATACAATGCCAGGAACATTGCCGTAAGTTTTATGGTCTTCTAAGGGTAAGGAAGGGGATAAAGGAATACGAGGGGAGATGGATGGACATGCGCGTGTAAGATACAATGCCATGAACATTGCTGTAAGTTTTATGGTCTTATAAGGGTAAGGAAGGGGATAAAGGAATACGAGGGGAGATGGATGGACATGCGCGTGTAAGATACAATGCCAGGAACATTGCCGTGAGTTTTATGGTCTTATAAGGGTAAGGAAGGGAATTAAGTAATATATACGAGGGGAGATGGATGGACATGCGCGTGTAAGATACAATGCCAGGAACATTGCCGTAAGTTTTATGGTCTTATAAGGGTAAGGAAGGGGATAAAGGAATACGAGGGGAGATGGATGGGCATGCGCGTGTAAGATACAATGCCATGAACATTGCCGTAAGTTTTATGTTCTTATAAGGGTAAGGAAGGGGATAAAGGAATACGAGGGGAGATGGATGGACATGCGCGTGTAAGATACAATGCCATGAACATTGCCGTAAGTTTTATGGTCTTATAAGGGTAAGGAAGGGGATAAAGGAATACGAGGGGAGATGGATGGGCATGCGCGTGTAAGATACAATGCCATGAACATTGCCGTAAGTTTTATGTTCTTATAAGGGTAAGGAAGGGGATAAAGGAATACGAGGGGAGATGGATGGACATGCGCGTGTAAGATACAATGCCATGAACATTGCCGTAAGTTTTATGTTCTTATAAGGGTAAGGAAGGGGATAAAGGAATACGAGGGGAGATGGATGGACATGCGCGTGTAAGATACAATGCCATGAACATTGCCGTAAGTTTTATGGTCTTATAAGGGTAAGGAAGGGGATAAAGGAATACGAGGGGAGATGGATGGACATGCGCGTGTAAGATACAATGCCATGAACATTGCCGTAAGTTTTATGGTCTTATAAGGGTAAGGAAGGGGATAAAGGAATACGAGGGGAGATGGATGGACATGCGCGTGTAAGATACAATGCCATGAACATTGCCGTAAGTTTTATGGTCTTATAAGGGTAAGGAAGGGGATAAAGGAATACGAGGGGAGATGGATGGACATGCGCGTGTAAGATACAATGCCATGAACATTGCCGTAAGTTTTATGGTCTTATAAGGGTAAGGAAGGGGATAAAGGAATACGAGGGGAGATGGATGGGCATGCGCGTGTAAGATACAATGCCAGGAACATTGCCGTGAGTTTTATGGTCTTATAAGGGTAAGGAAGGGAATTAAGTAATATATACGAGGGGAGATGGATGGACATGCGCGTGTAAGATACAATGCCAGGAACATTGCCGTAAGTTTTATGGTCTTATAAGGGTAAGGAATGGGATAGAGGAATACGAGGGGAGATGGATGGACATGCGCGTGTAAGATACAATGCCATGAACATTGCCGTAAGTTTTATGTTCTTATAAGGGTAAGGAAGGGGATAAAGGAATACGAGGGGAGATGGATGGACATGCGCGTGTAAGATACAATGCCATGAACATTGCCGTAAGTTTTATGTTCTTATAAGGGTAAGGAAGGGGATAAAGGAATACGAGGGGAGATGGATGGACATGCGCGTGTAAGATACAATGCCATGAACATTGCCGTAAGTTTTATGTTCTTATAAGGGTAAGGAAGGGGATAAAGGAATACGAGGGGAGATGGACGGACATGCGCGTGTAAGATACGATGCCATGAACATTGCCGTAAGTTTTATGTTCTTATAAGGGTAAGGAAGGGGATAAAGGAATACGAGGGGAGATGGATGGACATGCGCGTGTAAGATACAATGCCATGAACATTGCTGTAAGTTTTATGGTCTTATTAGGAGAAATAAAGCTACACGTTTTGAGGTACCTTCACGTGGACGCGTCAAATCATGCCTGTCATAATATATGCTAACTTACTACCAAAACTGTTTGTCTCAAAGTACTAGTATATGTGAGATTACCAAAATGTACAACTCTGAGTTCAAGTCAATAAAGCATGTAAATGTTTTGATATAAAGAAGATTCTTAATCTTGTCTTTACGGAATATTTAGAGTAGTTCTGATAGAACTTTATAGATCCTTATATGGTGTCAGATTCATAGAACAAGGAAATATGTATAGATTGGAACCACCCGAGCAATTTGATGTGACTCAACCCAAGTTATGGAGACATTGGATTTCCAGGTTTGAGAGATTTAGGACAGCTAGTAAGTTGAAAACTGAAGCTGAATCTAATCAGATTGACACTTTGATATATGTCATGGGCCCAAAGGCTGAGACTATTTACAATACTTTTACGTATTCTGAAGACCAAGATAAAAACAAATATGAGACAATTTCCAAGAAATTTGAGCAGTATTTTGTACCCAAGATAAACATTATAGAGGAACAAAGACAGTTTCACAACCTAGCTCAAACCAGTAGTGTTGATAATTTCTTGAGGGAACTATACGACAAGTGTGAAGTTTGTCAATTTGGAGATAAAACAGCCCAGGATAAAGAAATTATGCATCAATTAATTGTTGGAATGAAAAATAAAGAGCTTGCCGACAAATTGAAGATTATGGACTGTTAAGAAAAACAATTATCGTGTCAAAGGACGCTACAGTCAAAGTAAATCGAGTTCACAGGATAATATAAAGTGTGGCAAATGTCTGCTACAACATGACAAGGGCAAATGTCCAGCCCATAACGAGACTTGCCGATATTGTAAATCCAAAGGACACTACAAACGTGCTTGCCGTAAATTGTTATCAAAATCGACACATAGTGCCCATAATGTTGAAGATTGTGATTCGACAGATGGTGATTCGTATCTCGGTGAAATATACGAGGCTCAGGCTACAGATTTTCTTGAGGAAGTTGTGATCGACTTGGATGAGATGATTACCAACGATAATGAACCTCCATGGTACCAAGAACTGAAGGTATGTGGTGAGGGTGTAAAGTTCAAACTTGACAGTGGTGCAGACGTGTCTGTAATTAACTCTTCCACTTATCAGAAATTTCAGTCAAAACCACCCCTGGTTTCATCTAAGTCCAAACTTAATAGTCTGGGAGGTAGAATCAAGAGTTTGGGTCAATTTAAGGCCAAGATTGAATATCAAGGGAAGATTTTCAAAACAAGTATTCATGTCGTAGATAATCCCAAGGGTTCAAATCTCCTGTCAAGAGGGTGTGCCACAGGGATGGGTCTTATCAAGCGTATTCATGAATTACGAGTACCTAAACTTGAATCTAAGGTGAAAGATCGAGTCAATGATCCTGATATTTTTGGAGATGTAGGTAAAATCAAATATCAGCCAATCAAGATTAAGCTCAAAGATGATGCTACCCCATATTGCATACCAGTTTCTAGACGTGTTAGTCTACCCCTTATGCCTAGAGTTAAAGCTAAACTGGAGAAAATGGTGAAGCAAGGTGTTATTTCGCGTGTTACAGAACCTACCGATTGGTGTGCGCCAGTGGTCGCAGTTGAAAAACGCAATGATCCAGAGCCAAGAATTTGTGTCGATCTTCGCCAGTTGAATAAAAACATAAAACGCGAGAAATTTATGCTTCCGTCAACTGAAGACTTGGTACATAAAATGAAAAATTCCACAGTGTTTTCCGTGCTCGATGCTTCAAGTAGTTTCTGGGGTCTAACCCTTGAACATGAAAGTTCGTTACTCACAACGTTCATATCGCCTTTTGGCCGTTTCAAATTCAATCGAGTTCCTTTCGGTCTGAATTTTGCGAGCGAGTTATACCAAAGAATCATGATGGAAACGTTCGAAGGTCTTGATGGTGTAGAGATATTTATCGATGATTTAATTGTTCATGGTAAAGATACTGCGGAACATGATCGACGGTTGTCAGCGGTTTTGGAGAAAGAGTGCTTAGCGGCAGTGTGGAGTTCAGAGAAATTTTCACGATATCTCATTGGTTTAGATTATGAACTACTCACTGATCACAAACCATTGATTCCACTGATTAACACAAAAGACATTGATCAGGTACCAATCAGAACACAACGTTTATTGATGCGACTTATGCGGTTCAATGTAAAAGCAACATATGTGCCTGGTAGAGATATGGTCGTTGCGGATACTCTAAGTCGTGATCCATTGCCATATGATTGTGACGTTATCGAGAAACAGAAAGAAATTGAACAACATGTTGAAGCGATTGAGAAAAATCGTCCTATTGCAGATTATCTGATTGAATTGATAAAAACTGCATCCAGAACAGACCCAGATTTAATCCGTTTGCGAGATATGATCATGAAAGGTTGGCCTGACAGCGTAAAATCAGTGCCACCTGATTTAAAACCATACTTTTCGGAGCGTGGAATGCTTAGTATACAAAATGATCTCATATTACACGGTACACGAATCGTAGTTCCGAGTAGTTTACGTGCTGAGATTCTTGAGCGTATCCATCATGGACACTTGGGAATTAATAAATGTCGTGCGCGTGCTAGCGGTTCAGTGTATTGGCCTGGGATGAGCGGTGAGATTCGAGATATGGTAAACAAATGTACGCATTGTGCAACTTACCGGAATGCACAGAGAAAAGAACCATTAATCCCGACAAAACTACCGGATCGTCCGTGGAGTCAAATTGCGGCAGATTTATGTGAATACAAAGGTAAGCATTGGCTCGTGGTAGTAGACTATTTTTCGAGATTTCCGGAAGTTGCAAGATTAGAAAAGAATACAACTACAAAGACAGTGATTGACAAGCTTAAAGCTATTTTTGCGCGATTTGGTATTTGCGACACTTTAAACTCAGATAATGGTCCACAATTCAAAAGTGCGGAATTTGCTGAGTTCGCCCGTAAATACAATTTCAACCACGTGACGTCTAGTCCAAATTTTGCGCAAAGTAATGGTCAAGTAGAGAGGGGAGTTCAGGTATTGAAACGCTTCCTTCACCAAGATGATCCATGCTTAGCTTTACTGTCATATAGATCAACACCCCATGCATCTACTCAAGTTTCTCCTGCTGAGTTACTGATGGGGAGAAAAATCAAATCAACCATACCTACTTTGGCTACCAACCTAAAACCCAAATGGCCAAACTTGAAAGTTGTCAAAATGAATGATGAGAAAGCCAAAAGCTCCCACAAACATTACTTTGACAGGCGCCATGGTGTGCAACCATTGACTGATCTTACACCGGGTCAAAATGTCCTGTTAAAACGGGAGGGGGAAAAGGGTTGGAATGTTAAAGGGAAAGTGAAATGTTCACATGAAAGTCCAAGATCTTACATTGTAGACACAGGTAATGGGATATATAGGCGAAATCGCAGTCATATTTTGAAGGTTCCTGACTTTAGTCAACCATTAGATGAAACCACAACTCCCATTAAGGCTAATGGAGCCATTAGTTCTGATACATCTGTTCAAGATCACATATTACCCAGTGATCAAGCTGTAACTGCACCATTGTCTATTGAACAACCTAATCCACAACCTGATGATGTTCAACCTAGTGGTAGAATGCAAACTAGGTCACAAACTGGAACTGTTGTGAATAAACCAGTACGTTACAGAGATTAGGGACATAAACATTTAAAGTGATACTAAATTACATAAACATTTAAAGTGATACTAAAGTACATAAACATTTAAAGTGATACTAAAGTACCAAAAGAAAGTTCATAGAAATAACTTTAGGTATTAGAAATAACTTCATAAATACTTTAGTGACTTTTTTACATATACATACATTTTGTAATCTTAAGGGGAGATGTCATAATATATGCTAACTTACTACCAAAACTGTTTGTCTCAAAGTACTAGTATATGTGAGATTACCAAAATGTACAACTCTGAGTTCAAGTCAATAAAGCATGTAAATGTTTTGATATAAAGAAGATTCTTAATCTTGTCTTTACGGAATATTTAGAGTAGTTCTGATAGAACTTTATAGATTACAGTGTAATTCCCCCATTTGTAGTGCTTACTTGCTTTGGGCTATTATGAATACAGTACATAGGCTCCTTGAAAGGAAAACCAATCGAATGGGGGGAGTAATCCCCGTGGTCATAGTATTACGTTCACAAGAATCTCTTCAAAACTTTCGGTTGAGCCGCTATTTTACGTCGGAATGTGTGAATGATTTATAGACCTCTGTACCTTCAATCCGTATCATGAAGTCTCGCGCCACTGTGCATTACATTTAAAGTATGGTGTCGTCAAGGGAAAGATCAATACCCGGTGATTTCA